ATGTCCCTATTTGGATGGGTCATATTCTTGCTATATCATCGTCCATCTATCATTTCATTGGCTAGTGATGCAATCACTTATGAAAAATTTATTATTTGTTGGACTATTTTATTTATTTATAATTTAACCATTCCTTAGTATTTATTTCTTCATAATTAATTTAATTGTTTATTCTTTATATTAAGTGCAAAATAACTTTTTATGTTGGACTTTTGAGGTGCACCTCACTTCTATACTATAATGTTGAGACTTAATTAGTAATAAAGTTGACATTATTATATAAAGGGAAAAGTTTATACAGAGTCGAGGCTTTAAACAATCAACTTCGAGCCTACCACAAAAATTTCACTGGAAGATGTTGTATTGTTGTCCAAATATCCTCAAATCGATATCTCGACATCAAGATGAATGGACATGAGACAAAAATGAATTTCTAGTTTTGGAAATATTGTATTTTGTAACACATTTTTGGACCGTCAATTTTCAAGATTTTCAGTTTTTCACAGATCTGTCGATCTACACTATTTTTTCATATTGAAAATTCATAAATAAAGATAAAAATATATTTTAATACTATCACAAAGATTTTCAGTATTGAAACCACATTTTTTAGACACTAGTTAAAGGTAAGCTCTAATTTGATTATTTAGAGCCTATGCTCTATACCAACCGCACCCTTATATAAATTTTTTTGCTAAACTTAAATCATTGATGTTTGTATTATATTCATTCGCATTCACAAGGAGTACCCAGAAAACTTTATGCTTGTGCGGGAGCAAAATGTGCATTTGCTCCATTGGGATCCTCCCGGGAATATTTTTAGGACTTGTAACTTTCTCTACCGATAACTAGTTTTGGGAAAAAAGGTCAAAGTGATCATGTACCCTCAGCCTAAAAAATTAGCATCCTAGGATTGAATAGTAACCCTAATGTTTCGATGGCCAGGGTTCAAAAACTCTTTTTTTTATTGGGTTTTTTTTTTAAAATACTCATCTTGCCATTCTAATATGAATCCCAAAAGTCTTTCCAGCTCAAATGCATATGAATTTGATATTTTGTATTTAAAACATTTCAAGACTTAATCATTTTTTGAGATAAAAAAATTACCTAAGTATTTCTATAGGTGGAAAAATTTTATACAACGTTGCAATCTTGTTCTTGAGAAGTAAATTGCACTTCAAAATCTTATAGAAACGATGTATGGATAAAAAGAAAAAAAAATTTAAGTCCAAAAGAAAAATACATCTTATAACAAGTAATTTATACCGTATATCTTCAAGATTTTTAGGTGTTTATAAATTTGTTCAATTTGTACTATTTTCAAAATTTTTAATTTTATAATTAAGGACAAATACAAATTTTCAAACCAACATGAGGTTTTTGATACCGAAAACTTCATCTATAATTCTACATAATAAGGGGGCAACCTTACGTGAGCCTCATCCTTTATAAGTACTATTAACTCATATGGGTGTCCTTGTCATTCATCATAATGTTTAGGGGCACTTCTGTCATCTCCCTCCATCAAGGTTTCTCACTTTAAGCCTAATAACCGGCAAATACCCAACATACTTACCCCAGCCCTAAAAAACCGAGGACTGGGCCACAAAAAATTTGGTGAGGCCTAGGCCGAGCCACCTTGGCTTGATTGGCGGCTAGGCTTGGTCTAAGCCACTTGCGGCCTAGCCCAATCCATTTGTTCAATACCTGTTTTTTAATTTTAAATTTTTATTAAACAATGGGTAAATACTTCGCATAAGTAGGCTCAAAAAACTAAAGCCTAGGCCACAACAAATTTGGTAAGGCTTAGGCCGAGCCATCTTGGCTAGGGTTGGTCTAGGTCACAAGAGGCCTAGACCAGCCCATTTTTTTCGATCCGTGTTTTTTAATTTTAAATTCTCATCAAGCCGGGCTTGGGCTCAGCACTTAAACCTATGGCCTTGAGTCCCTTGGAGCCAGCCCCTGGCTAGCCTAGACCCGACCGGTTTCCAGCCTTATCCCACCACACACGCTCTCCCGGGTCTTGACATGGGTTTCTCTCTCCAAAGACACACACTCTCTCTCTACACCATGCTTTCTAAGAGCTTGGGCCTTGATATAAAAGCCAGGCATAGAGACTTCATATTTTTTCCCAATTATGTCATCTTACGATGTACAAAGCACTATTAATATCTTTCCCTTTATAACATCCAAATCCCCCTGGCCTTGTTCCTCCATTCCCCACCTCAAAACTCTCTCAACACATAAATAGAGAGAGAGAGAGAGAGAGAGAGAGAGAAACCGTAGATCCTGAAGCCCCTCAATAACATCATCCCTTTCCCCACCATCCATTGCCATACCGGGAAAACCAGCTGAGAAGATATATCTAAGCAACATGCTAGAGAGAGAAAGTGCACTCGGATCTTCCTGGGTAAGTCTGAACCAGGTTTGAAACTCACAATCTCTCTCTTCTATTCCTACTGTTGTGGAAATTGCAGATTCCTATCTTGTCTAATCTTTGTTCTAGAGAGAAAAATTCACTATGAGTTGTAGGTAGGAAGTTGTAGCCTCCTGTTTGTTTCAGCAAATTTTTAATACAGTCCTTTGGACTGTGATCCCTTTATCTCTCTAGCTGCTATAAACTAGAAGATGATTAAAATGTGTGATTTAGGATAGAAAGGACCAATTCTCACTCTTAGTTTCACAAGAGAGAGAGAGAGAGAGAGAGGAGATTGTTAACCTGAGATAGGGAACAAGGGCAAGAGCGAGAGCATAGTGGAGAGAAAGAGGGGGGGATGTGGAGATTTTTAATCTAATAAAGAGAGAGTGAGCAAGATAACTTAATAACATAGGAGAGAGTGAAGTGAGAATCGATCCAAACCTGAAAACTCCACTGGTTGAGAGAGAGACAGAGAGAGAGAGAGCTGATCGAAGACCTGAAAGTCGAATTGAGAGAGAGTTGATCGAAGACCTGAAAGTCGAATTGAGAGCGGGTTGAGAGAGAGAGAGAGGTGATCGCATATCTACAAAACAAACCGAGAGAGCTAGAGAGAGAGTCGGAAACTAGAGAGAGAGAGAGAGAGAGAGAGAGAGAGAGAGAGAGAGAGGGATGTGACATAGAGGGGGAGAGAGAGAGTAGCAAAGTAGAGAGAGAGAAAGGGGGGAAATTGGTGACACAGAGAGCAAGAGAGATCACCCCAAATCTCCTGGACGACGATGGCGGCGGAACATGTAGCAGACCGGCCCCCCTCCTCCGCCAGCAGCAGCACTGCCGAACCCAACAACCACCGTGCGCCTGCCCCCAGCACCCCCCCATCGCGCTACGAGTCTCAGAAGCGCCGAGACTGGAACACCTTCGGCCAGTACCTCCGTAACCACCGGCCCCCACTTGCCCTTTCTCGCTGCAGTGGGGCTCACGTCCTCGAATTCCTCCGCTACCTCGACCAATTCGGCAAAACAAAGGTCCACAGTCAATCCTGCCCCTTCTTTGGACACCCCCACCCTCCAGCCCCGTGCCCGTGCCCTCTCCGACAGGCTTGGGGCAGCCTTGATGCCCTAATCGGGAGACTGAGGGCCGCATATGAGGAAAATGGCGGAAAACCTGAGGCCAACCCCTTCGGAGCTAGAGCTGTGAGGCTCTATTTGCGCGAGGTTCGCGAGTCGCAGGCGAAAGCTAGGGGCATCGCATACGAGAAGAAGAAGAGGAAGAGGCCTCCAAATATGTCAAGCACAGTAGCCCCAGCTGAAACAGCTTCAACTTCAGTGGGGGTGGTTGCACCAGGTGAATTCTCTCTCAGTGAAGCCTCCAGCAATAGTCAGCAGGAGTTTGTGAATTAGCTACCTTTCTCTCTCTATGTCTCTCTATCTATCCATCAATCTTCTCTCTCTATAAACATCTCCAATCTCTCTATTTCAATCTTCTCTCTCTAAATATCTATCTATGCATCAATCTAGATAGAAAATTTGAATTAGGCAATTAGTTAGAAATCTTTCTATTTCATCACTATAGAAACCAACTATGGCTATGAGGAGTATGTTGAGTGGTTTGATGTTTATCTGAATTCTCTCTCACTAGAAACTGCCTCAAATGGTGGTGGAGTTTTTCAGTTAATTGGTTGGTTTCCCTCTCAATTTGGTATTATGGGTCTTACATGGATCACTCTTTACTGTAAATTTCATATTCTTGTCTTAATCTCAAATTGGAAAACTTAAGAAACCAACTCTTGATTTTTTCTTATGGAAAATGGCTTCTTATTGCATGAATTCCTGTCTTCTTTTATTTTTCTTTTCCAAACTTTAGGATCTTTTCTGGTGATTTATGGTCATGTCATGGCATTCCTTTATTGTATATGAACTATCCAGGCTTAGAACTGAGAGAGAGAGAGAGAGAGAGATCCCCAGTCTCAGTAATATGATCTACAAATTACTGTCCTTGGGGCATATAGAATTGGACTTTCTAGGGTTTATCTTGATGGTGCGGTTTGCATGTCCAGTCATGCCAATCTGCTTCCCATTACAGTCTCTCTCTCTCTCTACAGTCTCTCTCTCTCATCAAGGTGCTTTAGTGATGTCTTGTCAAAGTGGAAAGAATTGCAATGGGAGACAGTGAAATCTCGTTTTTCCTTCCAATTCTCCCAAAAAAAAAAAAAGGGCACAAGGAAAAAGGGAAACAATGGGTGGGCCTTTGATCTGAACTGTCACTACTGACCTTTATTCTGGGCCCTCTAAGATCCAAGGGTCGTGTAAGTTAACTTACCCTTTTCACATTTTGAGAAAGAAACACACACAAAAAGAGGGGAGACAGAGAGAGAGAGAGAGTTTTCACATTTTGGGAAAGAAACACACAAAATGAAGACTGAGAGCGGTGCATGAAAGCAAGAGAGAGAGAGAGAGATGCATGAAAGGGGAGAAGGGGTAGGGTCACATAATGTAAGCATAAACCTATAGAGAGAGTCAAAAAGTGCATGATAAATTTAGATAGAAGTGCATCATAAATCTAGTGCTAGCACCTGTGTAGTGCAAATGAGAGAGAGAGAGAGAGAGATAGAAATAGTATATGATAGAGAGAGAAACAGAGAGAGAGAGTGTATGATAGAGAAAGAAAGACGAGAGAGAGAGAGTGTATGATAGAGAGAGAAACAGAGAGAAATAGTGCATGATAAATCTAGTGCTAGTACTTTGTGGAGCAAGAGAGAGAGAGAGAGAGGGAGAAGAGAGTATGTGTGATAAATCTAGAGCTAGCACGTGTGTGGTGCAAATTCCATGAGCTGCCTCTCCAATCGACGGTTTATACTTGCCACACATGTGCTTGGGGAGTATCTGAACCATCCAGTTTGCGCTTGAATGGTAAAGAATAAGGCTCATATGGATACATCAAAATTCCTATATTTTTTTAATTCAATTTGGCCGACAACCCATTAATACTGAGACACTCCTTGCCCATATTTAGGTAATGCTGGGATTTACCTTTTGGAATATCTGATATTATTTTATCATTTAAAGAAAGGACTATAAGATATTGATATAATTTCAACAAAATATTACATATTATTTGAAGCATGATAAGATCAATACATTATTTTTGTTTAAGACCCATACTTTTTCTCATCAACGATGCTGGCGCAAAGCATGCACTTGCAACACCCATCCCATGTAACATTGACACAATTTTATTTTTTTGCCCTTTACCAAACACAAGCCTGTGTTAGTGTGTAAGATACTTCAAAAACCTATGGCTACTTTTCAGTTGTTTTTTTTAAAATCTCACTATCAAAGTACTAAATATCACTCAAAATCCTACTTCTAAATGATGGGAATGTATATTATAAGACCATTCACTTTTTATACAAGGTTACAGTTATTCTCAACTATTGGATATGAAATCTTAAAGATAGAATTGTGTCACAATATTCGATAAAATTTTTTTTGGACTTTATATTAAGTAATAACACATCTTTATCTACCCATTTCCTGTCTAATGGTTAATAATCATTTGACATCCTTATACTAAAAATAAATAGTCTTACTGTATATATATTTCCTTAAAGGAAAAAGCTTATACAAGATTGCAACCTTATGCTATAGAAAAAATTCCACTGAAAGCGGTTGTTCCGATGCTGAAAAACTCTCTAGTGGATCATCTCAACCTCGAGATGTACAGAAATGGGAAAACATTTTATTTTAAAGTCCCAAAGAGGCTAATACATTATTTAGACTCTCAGTTCTCAATATTGTCATGTGGTTGTAGATCTGTACCATTTTTTAAGTTTTAAATTCTAATACAAAAAGATAATCTTTCAATTGAGCTTTGGAGATACGCCTTATTTGGATTATTTAAGTTTGGGACCTTATACAAACCACCCTTCCTTAAATGATACATTTCCTTAAATAATATGCAGATCTTTAGTGTTTGATAAAAAAAAAAAGGATTTGATATTCATGATATTCATATTTGCATCGGATGCTAACATGTGTCATAGTGTCTGTACAATAGCTCCCATTAAGAAAATAAAAGGTCAAAAAAAATAAGAACACAAATAAAACAAATAAGAAAAAGATAATGGGTTCTTCATTGGCCGATTAGGCATATTCAAAACCAAGAATTAAAGAGATTGCACTCATCTTCGGAAAGAAAGAAGCATTGCTGCACCGGGTTCTTAATTGGCTAATTGGGCATATTCAAACCCCAGGCATCAAGACTACAAGGAAGACAACTTTAGGGTTTGGATGCTTGGTCCTTATTCTTGGTGCCCTCTCCGGGTAAGCAAAAGATATCCCATATGAACTAAAGAGACGGATTCTCACCACTAAAAAATCACTAAAATCACACACACACAAACACAGGCTTGGGTGCATCAATATTTTAGTGATTCCTTGAATTAATTGGAAATACTATGAAATTCCTCCACCAAATTGTGTTTACTTTAAGAAACTATGAGTAAATCATGATCAACCTCTTATGCGTGCATTTGTTATCCTAAGGGCGTGCTTGTTTCTTTGGAAGACGTAGACTAAGAAACTGCGTCTTCCAAAAGAATAACAATTGTACTTTCTATGTCACAGTCACTTATGGAGCTTGTGGTATACATTTTTTCATATAAAATATAAGGTCACTAGATACCGCAGTGTCTACTTTAGTGTAGGGCTTTTTTGTTGCCAAACGAGAAAGACATGGTTTCCAGGAAACAAACACGCCTTAATATTAAATTTTATTCATACTTACATCATTTTGTACCACAATTAACCAGCCCACCTAATTCTAGATAAGAGGGTAGACTTAGGTGAGAGTAAATTTAGGTGGGCCGGCTATGTATGGCATGAACCCAATACATCATCTGTTAGGAGGTACGAATTAGTTCAAGTAGAAGGTTAGAAAATGAAGAAGAGGCCCAAAAAGACATGGTTGGAAGTAGTGAGAAAATATATGGAGACTTATGACCTCACTGTGGGTATGAACCCTTAATAGAGAAAATGACATACCGGGATTCGTGTAGCCGACCCCAATTAATTAAAAAAAAGTTATGATGATGATGATAATAATGACGACATGATGCACTTCATAGAACAAATAAGTCCAATATTTCGCAGCTCTTAATTAGTTTAGCAATATTTGCATGAGCTTTTAATTGCTAATATCAAATGAGAGAGAGAGAATCCAATATTTTTTATTAGCTTAACAGTATTTGTACAAACGATTTTTCAGTTATTTATTAGCTTACCAAGATTTTCTCAACTTTTAAGTCTTAATGTCAAATGAAGGAGAGAGAGATAGAGAGAGAGAGAGTAGCATGAGGAATCATTTTGAAATCATGTTGTGGTTTCTTTTCTTAGTTTTCCTGTTTGTTCTCCTTGGAAGGTTTGGTAAGTGAATAACTTTCAACTGAATATCGAACACAACATGTAGCTTAGGAGAAAAGCATTTCAAAGCATTTTGTGGTAGTCTTTTCTTAGCTTTTCCTTGTTTCTGCTCCTTGGGAGCTTTGTTAAGTGAATATTTCTCTCTCTAACTTTCAGGAAAAGCTCACACACACCTCACTTCCCTAATGAAACACATAATCAAATGCTTTATATTTAATTTCTTTATTTTTGGTGCTGGAAAGCATATCCCAAAGTAATAATGCCACCTTCATGATGAGCTATTTCGTGGGGTTTGAGGATTCTAAGTAGTTCTTCAAATACACATTAAGAGAGAGAGAGAGAGAGAGAGAGAGAGAGAGA